ATCCTCTTTTAATATATATAATTAATAGAGATAGTTTGAAAAAAAATTTATAAATTTTTAAAATAAAGTGAATTGAGATTTTATATTTAGGATTAAAACAAATCTCTCAATTAACCCTTTATATTTTTTTTAGTCACCAAAACAGTTTTTTTTTTTTTTATATCAGGAATCATATGTAAAACAGAAAAACTGATACCTAGTCACCAAAACATTTAAACAAGCATCAAAATTGGAATTTGCAGAAGTTAGTTTGGACCATCTAAGCTCATAAGTCATAGCCAAATATAAACACTAATTACAAGATCACGTATATAAGATGCAATTTACTCTTACTATATATATAGTACATAAAACTCTAATATCCTAATTAATTTGGCCCATAATAATAATAATTTAAAAATACAATATTGTTTCCAATAAATGGTAATGGCAGCAATGCCAACAAGTTCCTTTAATTCCATCAACTAACAAATTAAAAATAAAACAAGGAGAACATAGGTAGATGCATGTGCTTTGTGATTGAGGCCACAAATTGATTATTTCCAATAATATATTATATGAATTATTGAAAGGAACAGTTCATGTTTTAAGAAGATGAAGAAGATCTATCAAAGACATAATAATCAAAAGCTTCTTTGTTGGGAAATAGAAAAGAAAAAGAAAGAACAAAGAGAGGGAATTGATGGACCAGCTGCTCCAACTTATCTTTACAACACATATTATGTGTATCTTTGAAAAGCCATCCCCTTTGGTCTATGTTTAAAGTCCAAAGATGTTTCCCTCTAGATTCCATTTTCATTCTTTTCCTAACTTTGTACTGTTCTTTTCTATTTTCCCTTCGAAGCAATTATTTAATATTTATGTGGTATTAAAATCAAGAAAGTATATAAAAAAAAACATGATACAATTAATTAGGAATAAATTTAAAACTTTTAAAAAAATCAATAATTCATTAAAAATAGTCAATAATTTAACAAGAATAGTTATTCAAATTCTAGAAACAAAAATAATCAATAGCTTACTAAAAATAATCAATACCTAAACAACAGTATTCGTCAAAACTCTTAAAACAAAAATAATTAATAATTTAATAAAAATAGTTAATATCTTTATAAAGTAGTCATCAAATCTCTAATTGTTACAGGGTTGTTAGTGCCGGAGCTCCGATAGGCTAATAGTGTCTCCAACAAAGAGTGGTTTAGACTCTTTTTTTATCTCTTCTTTGATAAGAAACTTCCGTGTTTATTTTAGTCTTTTGATGCAAATTTTGAAATCCCTACTTAATGATCAATTTATCTTCTTTTACATATTAGCTTTTTTGATATTTTGAAATTTAATTGGTATTTTGGCATTTTTCTCATTATATTTTATCTTTTAATTAGTTTTTTTATTAAATTTTATTTATCAAACACACCATGACACCAAGCAAAACAACTAGAAATTAACTCCACTTGTGATTTTCACTAGCTCACTTTAGAGATTTAAATGCTGTTTTTTCAGATCCCACACCTACGAAAATAATGATGAAGGCCAAAATTTGAGAATATTGACTATATTTGGGTAAAAGTGCACTTGTTGAGATTTTCACCAGTTTACTTCTAGAAATTTACAACACTCTTTTTCAAATCTCACGCTGACTAAAATGAATTTTTAATATTGTAAATTGCAATATTTTATTTAGAGGGTGAATAATCAACTCCAATGCTTCGACTGATTGCGCTTTCCTTATAATTTAATTTCCTATTATTTTTATTTTTTATACTTTCTTCAATTAATTGATTTTACTGCATTTTCGTAATCTATTATTATTTACATTAGTAAAAATACAACTTTTAGAATTCTTTGAGATTTTTACTACAAGGTGTTTAGATGAAAACCAAACTATAATTTCAAAGTACTTTTACGAAATAAATATGTGAGGATTTGTCTCGTTTTGTGAAAAATATTTTTGAGAAGCACTTTTAAATTGTCAAACACCCCTTACATCAATCTCATACATTCGGTTTCTCTCCTCATCATGTCCCTTCTCTCTGCCTTATCTCTACCCCTTTCATTACTATTGGATTAAGGGTGTGTTTGGCAAGCACCCCAAACCATGGTTTTGGGACCCAAACCATGGTTTGGGAAAAATGTTAGCCAACACCCTAAAAAATCAAAACCATGGTTTTGACTCCAAACCATGGTTTGAGAAAAGCAGAAATTTTTTTACTTTTGGAGGAAAAAGGGGAGAGTGTGAGAGCCTATAGGATATGTATCTTGTTGTTTTTTTTATAACCATATTTTTTATAAATATATTTAATCTTATATCTTATATATACATATTAATTATTTATTAATTATATTATCTTATATATTATAATATATGTTAATAAAAAATATATTATTAACAATTTTATTCCTTCAAATTAAATATATCATAAAATATATTTTTTCTATAATTATCAATTAATTTATGCCAATTTGTATATATAAAAAGTACTTCTAATAACAACTATCCAAACACTTACACTTCTCAAATCACTTTTTCACAAAATCTATTCTTTCCAAAATCTATTTTTTTCAGAATCTATTCTCCAGAAGCTATTCTCCAAACCATGGTTTAGTTTCATCCAAACACACCCTAAATCTTAACCGTTCAGATTTAATGTTTCAAAAATATATTATTTTTTACCAAAAATATTATAATTTTACTTAAAAATATATATAAATCTTAACCGTTAAAATGTGATTTGAATTTTAAAAAATTCATTTTATAACAATAATCTACCGTTGTAAATTGTTCAGATACGATATTATTATTTATGGATTAGGCTCAACACTTGTCATAAATAATTTATGAGAACACCAAATTGCAATGCCTGGGGGCCACCTCTCATTCCACCCCCTTTAGGCCATTACATTCTTGAACAGGAAAAGATAATCAATAGAACGAATTGAAACCAATCACTTTCCAAATTTCTCTTCTTTTTCTGAACAGCTTTATCTGGAAAAGAGAAAATCAAAATGGGGCATGCCTTGAATTTGATTCTTCTTTTAGGTTGTGATTAAAGTCACGGCAACGTCTTTTTTCCACATTATTAATTAGTGATCTGACCAGAATTGTCCCCACACTTCTCTATGGGGCGAGAACTAATTAATTCTCCGATTTTTTTTTTTTGAAAATAAAACAACTGTTCAAATTCTTTTAATTGACCTACACCGGTAAATACATTGAATTATCCTAATTTATTGATTTACTAAAAATAAATTTTTAATTAATTAAATTTCACATTAAATATGTTCATTTTTTTCCCCTATCGTGCAACCAATCCTATTGAAGGACAAGATAAGACGGTTGATTGATTCTCCTTTCTTGTATATTTTTTTTTAATTTCATAGGGAAAAAATGTGATAGAATTGGAATTTTAGAACTTTTTCAATAATCATGGTTTATGATGTTTTCAATAATTTTGAAAAAGAAAAAAAATGGATCGGATACTTTGAAAGCAAAAGAAAGAAAGATACATATTAAAAACATGATAAACACAACCACTGGACAACCAAAAAGAAAGTGAGAACCAGCAATCCAGTTCACCCAACTGAGCAGAGAAGCACTTAAGAGATTGGATATAAAAAATGGTTTGCATGGTCCCAATTCATTGTTTTTTTTTTATTTTAACCTCACGTATTTTCTCCCAAAGGCATCGGGTCATTATTGGATACTAATATATAAACGCTTCTCTTAACAGAAATTTATACTTTAATTCATACATTATGTGTATGATCTTAATTCTAATATTATGTCTGATCCATAAGATAAGAGTTAGTTTGATATTTAATTTTGTTCAAAATATAAGATCTTAATTCATTTTATCTCTCATATTTATCTACTTTTTCCAAGATAATCTTTCTATTAGTTACACATATTAAATATTTTACCAATTGGTATTCTCACTAATACACATTGTTAGAAAGGGTGTTTTAGAAAAAACAACACATATTTATTACAAATAACTAATTTAACTAATTTTTCTAATATACTCAAATTAGTCAGTTAGCTCTTATATTAAGTAACAGAGGTAGTACATGTATTGCAACTTCAATCAATTGCCTTAATCATTATGTAGATAGTTATGAAATTCTTATCAGATGATTAAATATAAATATGAGAAATTATATGTAGTTAATTTGTCTGTGAAATTACACAAATACCCCTAAATCCACCCTCCTTTAACTGATGCTTACAAGCCACGAGCGATAAAAAAAAAAAAAGTAATTATTTTTTTTCATGTTACTGATACTTTAATATTGACAAGTGAAATTTCATGGATTTACTTCTTTGATTGACAAGTTAATCTAATTAAATTTACAAGTGAATCAAAATAATTTTTGCATGTTATTGAAATTTTATATCTTGTATTATAAATCGACTTCTTAAATTTTCAAGTTCCCCTGTAGAATTTACAAGTTAACACACGAATCAAAAAATATTTAGATTCACCTATAAATTTAAGATGTTGACTTATAGATCTTTGAAGTTTGACTTGCAAACCTCATATATTTAACTTGTAAATATCCAGATATTAGTAATTAATATTAAAATTTACAAAAAAAAAATAATTATTTTCTTTGACTGATGATCGATAGGTTAATGGTGTTAGCTCAATTACTAGCAGTCGATCAACGCAGATCAAGTTTCATCATCAGAGAGAGAAGATGAAAGGGTATTTTTGTTATTTTACATGATAAATGAATTACAACCAAGTCTCAAGAGCTTTGAGAGTTTTTTTTTCCCCAAAATTCACGAATCTGATTTTCTATATCATTCATAATCACATTTAAGGACAGTTTAACATTTTAAAAGTATTTTACAGGCTTCTACGGGTAATTGTTTTTGGGATCCAACTAGAAAAGTTTCGTCCCATTTCACAATCTGTTGTGGCAAATAAATTATTGATTTGCCATCAGAAGGCAAATAACCATAATGATTACAGAAGGCATTCTAACGAAATTAAGCGAAGTGAGAGAGAAACAGGGGCCCCTCAATGACATTAAGGAAAGCACTGAAAGAATACACAATAATTGATGACTAAACCACCATATATGTAATTTAACATCCAAATGGGAAACCCAAAAAACAACTGATTAGATTCTCATATGGTTATTGTCTGCATGGTAATGACTTTCTCAATTTAAGTGTCGAAATGATATGGGGCCATGCAGACCCCATGTGGGGAAGAAAAGAAGAAATAATCCCAAAGGTTAAAGAAGAAAAAAGAAGGTTCAAAACTTGAAATGATCATGAGAGATGGAGATCTAGAGACCCTGATCAACAAGATAATCTCCCAACCTCTCCACAACCATGTTGCACTGTCCAGGAGTCACTGGTTCCTCGTACACCCCAAAAACTAGAGCTTGTCCAGTTTTCTTTATGGTGATGCCTCCAGATCCCTACCCCATTCAAGAACACACAACTGAGTTCCCATACAAACATTTTACAAACGGATTCAGTATTCCATTGATCCTTGTCCAACATAGTTGGAAAGATCTCATTTATCTATTTTGATGAGGAAAAAATGTGTTTATTAAGAGAAGAATTCATTAGGATGCAGTAACTGTCCATCCCCACCATCCATTTGCGATTAAAAAGACTGCAAATTAAACGACCCAAAACGCACAATTCGATTAATTCTTATGAGTTGCAAACGGATGGTTGGAATAGATTCTGATCAGCTTTCATTGAATTCGCCTATTACTAAATTCAAATCCTCATTTATAGCCACGCCGCAACATTTTATATGCCAAGTGAAATGACATTTAAAACTTGCAGCAGATAATGCGGCATCACACAATGGCTTCAAATGAAAACAAATGGAGGAAATTTCTGAGACTGAGTTCGATACGTCACCAAAGGAATCCAAATCCAGAGATTTTACATGATAAAATGTTTAAAATTAATAAAAGCTTTTGGACTCACGACTTGCAGATTTTACAGCTAAATTTAATGGAGGGAATATTACCTTCTTCCCACGGATGACAGCTCCAGGCTCTCCCTGGATTACCATGTACTTGGTGCCCGCAATGTGCAAGCCTTTGGGAGCAAGATAGCCTGGTTCCTCAAAATCTTTCTTGACATCTTCGATCTCGTCGGGCTTAAACTGGAAAGCAATATTCAAATAATGTCAGATCCTGGAAAGTTCTGTTGCTATACGACTTGAGAATTAAATAATCTTCCTGTTCAAGTCAATTCGTAGAACTTTAAGATGCTGACAAATGCTTAAGTGCCAAACATATAACAACTCTAGTTGTAGTACGCACAGCAGAACAATCGGATTCTACACAGGAATGGTCGCAAATATGGATCCATATTCCTTCGTCCAGAATACAAAACACACACATTCGTAAAGATAATCACGCATAGAGCATAGTTACATACAATAAGAGAGTATAAGTTCTTAGGAGCTAGGAAGTAATAGGTGAGATATATTTCAGGATTTGAACATGAAATTGGAGAATCGGCAGAATAGAATTAATGTATTTTAGAAATTCATAGCAAATTATATGTTACAAACAAGGTGAAATAATCGGATTCCGTGTAATACAAGACACAATCTAGTTCCCAGACAGAAAAGAAGAGTAACCAATAGATCAAACGAAGCCTCAGATCAACAGCGATTCAGGAACCAAAATAAAAAGAGAAGACGACGAAATCCGAATGCATTGCGATGAACGATAACATATTGAGATTATAAGACTGGAGAAAGGAAGAGGAAGAGAAAGAACAACCTGAGGGAAGGAAGAACTCTGAGCCCAGACGGAGCCGTCGAGGCCGATGATGGCGGCGGCGGCGAGGTGCTGGCCCTGACCATCGATGTCGCACATCAAGTGATCATCAACGTATGTCTGCCACGACATTTTTCTTGAAACGATTTGATTGAGACGAGTTTCGGAGAGAAGAGGAGAGGGATGAACTGCTTCTTTGGAATGGAAGCTAAGTGAGTTTGGGAATTTGCATACAATGAGAGAGCCTTTTTAGCCAAAACGTAAATAAATATAACAGACTTTGAAGCTGGCCGTCATTCACTGCCATCCTTCCCTTCCTCCTTCATTTTAGCACCCCTTCCACTCTATTTTCTCTCTCATCCTCATGTTCTCTTTCTTTTTCTTTGACCACTTTTTTTCTTACATTTTTTTTCCTTTTTTATTTCAACTTTGCATCACTTCATTATTTAATATTTATCTATAATTGCAATATGTGTATGAACTATGAAGGAGAGATAGACCACGATCCATGAAAAATATAAGAATGTAAAAAGGAAGAATTGTGAAGGAATCCCAAAAAAATGTATATAATTCCTAAGAAGGCTCAGTGATAACAGAAACTTGTATTTCAATTTAAGAAATGAAAACAGCTTACTTATCATTAAGACTGGTAATAGAAGTTATTTTCTTTCCTTGAAATCTATTATAATTCTTTCATTCAAAAGGTCTTTCAAAATGGCTTAATTCCGATGAAAGTATTTATGGACTATTTTGGAAAAAAAAAATTTGGTGACATCACCTAGTTACTCCTTAATAAATTAGTTCTTATTATCTTAGTTGTTGTTATTTGATAAGTTATATTTGTCAAACTATTGTTGCCATTTTGTTTTTTAAAATAAGGCATCTAAGTAATTTCGTTACAAAATTTAGTCATAAACTAGTCCCTAAGGAATTCACAATTATTGAGCTATTTGGAGATTCTGAATTGAGATTTGCAGATTTGAAACCTTTTGTATCTTTCTCCCCACATGTAGAGGCAAGAATCCATGAAAAATAAAGACTAATTTCTTTTGAACTAAGGTCGCAAAAATTAATTCCTTCCACTCACTAAAGGAATGTGCAAGTGGTTTGAAAACCTAGGCATAATTTGAGGATGTTTGGAATATCCTATAAACAGAAAAAAATGTCTTTAGGCAAGATAAAACAAAATTCCTCGCGCACACTTGTCACAAATACTATGAAATTACTCCTGAAAAGCTAACCCAAACACTCCATTATCTTAAATGCTAACCATTCCATTGCTCTTTTCCTTAAGTTTTATGAAGTCCTTACAGTCAGTCATCACAATCTACATTTCATTTTCATCTTTTCCCATCACACTGCATAAAGTCCTATATTGGATGATGGATCTGGCAAGCAAGAATTTCGAGGGACATTTGACTGAATAAAGTTTGATTCCATTTCATGCAAGAAAACGAAGGATTCTCCAAAGCCGGAATGAGCTACTTGAATACACAAACTGCTCTTGTCTACTGCACAAGTTGCTGGGAGTTGAACAAAAGTGAAGTCGTGAAAATTTTATGAATTCAAAAAGGATGGACAGTTGTCAACGAACTCAAAGATTTTTCTTTTAAAAACCGGTCTCTACCTTCAAAACTCCACCGCAAAATATCCAAGTACAAGAAAATTATAAAGGGGCAGCCCCTAAACAAAGTTTGCTTGCCATGAATTTTCATGGCTCATATACTGATCCTTCTCGTTAGTAATCCTTTTGAAGGCTTAGCCTCATATGTCAGTGTAGCCATGTCATAATCCAACCAGGGAAGAAGCAACAAATTGAAAAGGGAAAATTGACTCCCTTTAATCACTGAGTCGGTAGGATCTTCCCCTAAAAGCCACCCCCGAGCTGGTCTCTGGCTGGGCAGGATTTACTCGCTGGCCACGGTTCATCGGTTGTGCCCTTACTCCCCACCTTGCAACCAATTTATGTCTTTGAAATAATAGTTAAGAACACAACAAATCTTATTTCAGCTTTTGATCAATTTGCCACCTTCTGGGAGTTAGTGATTCCACAAAAGAGCTAATATAATAATCATTCTAACATATAGTTACAAGTAAATAGGCTTTAAGTCAATGCAAAGAATAACCTAGGCAACTAAACTAATGCATATCCAAGACTCACAGAACTATGGACACCGAGATGGCAGCATGTCAATTACAAGGAACAACTAAAATCTCATCTTAAGTACGACGGATACGAGTGTCAAACACACACAATACTTGCTTTTTAGCGTTTTTATCCCATTTTAACTGTTTTTAGTCCTTTTTTTGGGGGGAGGGGGTACACCGTGATGAGCCTTATGATGCTTTCACGCCAGCATAAAATAGAAATATTTTAGATGACAGTAGTATAATGAACAACTTAACAGAGCCAAGGACAGTAAGGATACCCCACATTGGAGTCTTTAGTATGTTCTTTCCACCAGCAAGCGGATGCAACACCGTCAAAAAGTAGTATAAATGCCCGGCAATGATACCTAGTAGATCTGGCACTAGAGGTGAGCCGAATATGACATCCAAAGCAAGCATTGCCCATGGGAAATAGAAGGCCTGGATGGAATAATACGAGTACGGTTCTTACTAGATTCAGCAAGATCTAATCTGGTTAAGTTTATATAACTGACGAAAAATGGAATAAAAACTACAGTTTCTTCCAGCTGACATAAGACTGACGTACCTTGAGTGAAACAAGTCCGTATATGTTGATTTGGGCATTTGGAAATTCTCTACTCCAGACATAAAGAAGCATGAAAACAAGTGATATTCCCAAGAAAGGGGACCAAAAAATAGGGATGGCAGACAAGACCTGCAATCCAGATACCATGCAAAAGCAAACAAAACTTATGTTAGCAGGAAAGAGTGAAATAAGACTAAATGGAATAACAATTAAGGATGGGCGAGGGAGGTTGTAATTATTCAACAATAATTAAAACCAACATCTTATAACGTCTTTGATTCACTAAAATTAACTTCCCTCTAGTGTTCTTATCTTATCGGAACTTTCCCTTCCTAGGTTGACCTCGCATATGTCTTTTTTGCCACTTTCTGCAAATCAGTAAGAAGTCTCCTGGCATGTTTCATAGCTTATTTTATCATCCTTAATGTTTATAACTACTCCAATTGATGATATCCAATCTCTTTATGAAATATTTCTCACTACTCAACTCATGCATAAGTCAATTATTTTATACCCAAATATGCTCCAAAATAACTAATTTTCCTCCACTAGGCTAGAATTCGTATGAGACAGTGAGCATAACTTTAAGTGCAAAATTGCTAGAATAGGAAAGACACGCTCAACCAAAGAAACCATGAAATGGAATCAACCACAGTTCCCTCTCTATTCTAGCCGTGTCACAAGGTTCAAACAAACAGAATGGGTAAGACGAATCCCAAAATTGATAGAGAATTTTCCAAGGAAAAGAAGTTCGTGACCAACCTCCAGACCTACAAATAATGCGATATAGACACGTTAATATTCATGTTACCAACTTAATTTGCTCAGGGTCTCAGCCTTACAAATAAATCATTAGATCAAACTTAAGCCAAAGCACAATCAAGTTATTTTTATTTTTAGCATTAGAGGCATGCTGGTTGCTTTTTAAGAAATCAAGGCTTAGAATGAATACGATTAGTTTTGCCTTTTGGGAGCACTAACAGCATATATCTTTTTTCTTAAACAAATATGCCGTAGAATCCTGACCTGAAAGCGATAGAACACCTCCTCATACAGCAATGCAATATGTATCGGACTATATAATCCAAGTTGAAAAGCTGTAGTAGCCAACAGGCAGAGGGTGCCATAAGCCTTGCTTACAGGAGGAAGAGAGTGATAAAATCTGAAAGGAGATGAAATTTGAAGTATTTTATGGGTTTAATAAAGTCATAGAAACGACCAAAAATACGAAAGATAAATAAATAATACTAGCCAACAAAATGAACTATCAGTTAATAAATAGTAATGCACCAAGCAAATAGCATAGAAAACTGCCAGAAAGTCATGCGCTTAAAGTTATCACTTCCATGAAATTGATCAGGGATTTGGCTTATCAACATCAAGTCAACGTGAATGTAGTTAAAATCGACTAAAATAATTCCAAAATGAAGTTGTAATCTACCAATTAGGAAAGGATCAATATTCTCCTTCCTGTCCGGTAGAATTGAAGTAATTAAATAAAGATTATTGTACCAACCATGCCCAAACCTTTTTTACACACAATGAGTCCATATCTGTCCCTAATTGGAATATTGCGGTAGAATAAGCCAAATTTTCGGACAAGAAAGGTCAAACTACATTCTAATGCACCAAGAACAGCGCAATTCGTACTGGTGAACGCAGATAACTAACGGATACCAGAGATTCATTTAGCTCATGCAAAAGAAACGTAGAAGCAAGAAAGAACAAGAAAACAAACAGAGAGGGGGAAAAGAGAGCATACTCGGCGGGAGAAGACATTTCCGATTGAAAAAGCTAATTCGAAAGATCCTACTTTTGGATCCCCACCCCACAATTTTCAGATTCTTGGAGGAAGACTTCAAGACACCGAAAATGAACAAAGCTTGGAGTTATAACTGGCGTGCTGGATTGTCCGAAAAGAAACAAATTTGCGTGCTGACAGGGCGAATAAAATGGGTCTGGTAGAACCGGAGAACAAGTTGTGGACTTGCGATGAATGACCCAGAAGATTCCTTTTTGTTTCCCGATTTTTGTTGTCTTTAATTAACGCCTGGTGAAGGTTGGGCCTGATCCATTTCATCTCACGTGTAAGCCCAACTGATCCAAATTTATAGTCCTCATTTTATTTTACCAACAAGTTATAATATATGTGACTTCCGCGGGCAAAAAAAATACAATGGCGTGTGACTTTTTCCCATAAATAGAAACTAGAGGAACCAGTTTGCATGGCAAGTTGATCATATCTTTAAATGTCCATCTTAAGTAATACAATCAGTTTTTTTATAGAATAAATATTGATAGTGATTATTATAAAAAATCAACAGTTCAGATTTAAAATTTTAATTATTTATTTTTTAATAGAAAATTATTTTTTAAAAAAGACAGTTGAGGTGGCCTTAGGCCTCTTTATTACCCAAAAAAAAAGATAGTTAAGGTATTATCTCTTATTTAAATTATATACCTATTAAAATAATTATTTTAAAAAAAAAATAAATTAAATCTGGACTGTTTAAATAAATATGAATAGTTTTGATCTCATGAACTTGAGATGCTCATCAAAGTGATGAGCATCCAAACTGGTTTTGAAACTAAATAATGGATGCCTTTATTAAGCAAACAACTAGTTGACAAGATCAACCTCCTTCCTCATGATCTACCTCAGAGAGATTGATCAAGGAAACAAAAACAGCCGTTCATGCTGTGGGTTAATCCTGCCAAACGATTTTTAGTTCCGAGCTTATTCACCTGAACAAAATGATGAAAAATCTTAGTGTACAAAAGAATTTGAAGGCTCTAAAATTTGTGAATTTTCTTTTGATCAAATAATATAATTTGTTTTATAAATTTTTCATCAGGTGTAATTGAAATCCATAACTTCTGATCAGCATAGTATTTCCTGAAAGTTTTGAAAATGGGGATATTCCTACACTATAGTAATATTTGACCAAAAGTTTGTTTGAATAATTATAAAATTTAAAGAGTAATTTTGTCCTAAAAGTTTGTTTGAAGGAGTCATTGGCTAAAATTTTTATTAAAAATAAGTTTTAAATATTAAATTAAATAGTTGCAAATATGGAAACTTTTCTTACCAACAATTAGGAGAGACTTGTAGGACTTAAAATATCTTATTTACAATTAAAATACTTATATTTGCAATTCTCTTAATTGATATTCATATAAATTAAATAATATTTTCGTGTTTTATTGTCATTAAAATATTTTATTTTATACCCGATTGTCATCCACTTTTTATCTTTTCAGTGTTTAGTTGATATTATAATTTCTCATAATATTGTGATTTTAACTTGCATACTAAATAAAATATTCATTTTAAATATGATGTTACACTTATGATGCATTATCAAACTATCCCTCTTTAATTTATTTCCAAGTATTTAAAAGGGTTAAAGTCAAATTTTGTCTTTCAACTTTCTTTTCTCGGCACGTTAGTGCCCCCAAAACCAAATGTAGTGCAATGTCATTCTCATACATTAAAAACAGAGCAATGCCTCTTATTCGTTAAATATTTATTAACTTTTTACAAAATTATTAATTTAACTATTAGTTGACCGAAAAATTACAAAGAAAAAATTTCCAAAAAAGTTATAAATAAGTTGTTGGCAGGAATGATTCTCTAAAGAGTACAAAAAGAAGAAATAAAAAGAAAAGTGATGCACAATATCTTCAAGACATAGGCAATACTTTTCTTTATGTTTAATTCACCCCCGTCTATTCCTGTCCAATAAGATGCAAGTTAGGTTGACTAGCTAATTTCTTTCATGATACAGTGAAGATTCTTGAATATAGATTGTAATTCCAAGATTTAAGTGAAGACAAAAATGGCTTTTATAAGGTGATAATTTGACTCTATCTCTACATATACTCAAAGACAAGGGCAATGAATTTGATCTTAGTATGTTTGTGTTTGTGTTGTGTTATGTGCAAATAAAGTGATGGCAAGGATTTATTTAGACCATGGAATGATCTCTTGAAGAGTTGCCTTATTAAATAAAACCACAACTATATGTTAGTTCATGAACCAACATATTTTAAATAAATAAAAGATTTTTAGTATTGTAACTTCCTAAATAACCCTTCCTATAAATATGTTAATTTATATGAAGACAAACTTTTCAAATAAATTTATTAATTTATATGAAGATATAACCCTCATATAAATTTATAATTTAATAATTTACATAAGGACATGACTTTTCAAAAAAAAATACATTTTTTTCATTTTAAAATATTCCAACATAAGTATCCTATAAGAATTAATGCTATCTCTGGTCCTAATTATAAAACTTTATATGTAATTTACAAACAGAATTTTATAATTAGGAACAGAGGTAGTAGAAATTAAATTTCCAAAATTACAAACAAAATGTCGAGAGATTAACACTTGAATAGAAGTACTGTTTTACTCTAATTCAAATGACCTGTTAGCATCGGTTCTCCAACTAGATCATGTAGATTCAACCGGAATAAGAAGCATCGAATTTTGTTTTTAAAAAAAAAAAAGAAAAATATTCTGCTGGTAGAACAATTTTAATTTAGTAAGAAACAGACTATTTTTGGTTTTTCGAATAAAGATGATCGCTTTTGTTTTTTTAATATATGACGGGTGACATTGCCCTGCCTTCCCTAGCAGGCATCACAAAAAAGTCCAAAGACAAGTTATTCAATGAGGTAGTTATTGACTTATACTTAGTGTCACCCTGCCTACCCCTAGTAGTGCATCCCAAAAAGTCCAAAAACAAGTTATTAATGAGTTAGTTATTGACTTATACTACTTAGGACCAAAAAAAATTCTAAAATAGGCCCTATAGCAAAGAAAAATTGAGCATCGGAGTTAGTATAACTCATGGATTCTATCATAACAGATGGCGGCAAACTGTTTACTTTTCTTTCTCCAGCAGGTTGGTTCTGTTACCTACACTTTTGAAGCATTTATCCTTTGGTTATAGAGTAAGAAAAATGAGTTGTACTATTTTATCGCTCTTTATTAGAATTTACAAATCTTCAGGGAAAAAACTTTGGGAGAGTTAACTCAAAATTAGACTCGACACTATTTGAATCTGAGCTGAATCATGAGGAATGGAATTAGCATTAATCACTATGTAGAAACTAACTAGACATTACAATCAACGGAGAAATAAATTACGGTATCAAGGTGAAGATGGAATTGTGGCCAATGAAGCACAATCAAGAGGCTTTGGTATGGGGATTCTCAGACAACTTAAGCTGCCACCTGGGATCACAGAACATTCTGGTTTAGGTCTCTGCATGTCCTTCCCAGGAATACAATTATCCGAGAAATCAAACCCCACGTTCCTAATCGAAAGCCTTGAACATTCCTGACTCAACCCATTAAAAAAGTTATAAGCCACAGTTAAATTCACTAAACTCTTCAACGAGCATATCACATCTGACAATTCCCCAGAAAGCTGGTTATGGGCCAGGTTAAGAACTTCTATATCTTCCAAACAAGATAGTGTTTCTGGCACATGACCCACCAATGAATTAAAGCTCACATCAAGAACTTGCACGTCTCTGAACAATCCCACTCCTTGAGGAATACAACCTGTTAACTGGTTATTCAGGAATAGAATCTCCTTCAGCTTGGAATTATAACCCACCAAACCTAAACTACTTATTGGGATAGTTCCAGTGAACTTGTTGTTTGCTAGGTTGATCACAGAAGCTGAGGAACTAGCAAGATTCTGTGGGATTTGGCCTTCGAATTGGTTATTGTTGAGAAGTATTGCGTCAAGATTTTTACTGAAAAGTTGATCTGGGAGGACTCCAGAGAAGGAGTTGAATCTGAGGTCTAAGTAAACAAGACTTGGCATGTTCAAAATAACTGTGGGAAATTCACCTGAAAACTGGTTGTTACTGAGGTCTAATTCTTGAAGATTTAAGAGGTCTTTGAATGTGTCAGGAACTGTACCAGTAAATCTATTACTGTTAAGATGAAGGAGAGACAAATCAGTGAGCAAAGATAGGTCTTTAACGAGAGTTCCTTTAAGATTTGCGTGGTTGAGATCTATTCCTGTAACAAAAGGACCATCTGAACAAACCAAACAGTCCTTATAAGAACAAACGTTAGAACCTATCCAAGTATCAAGAATCCTCATGGGTCATCGGTGATAGCTGATTTCCATGCTTGGAGACTTTTGTAAGCTACGTCCATCTTTGACACAGAGAGAGAGTGGCGATAATGGTGGTGGGGTTGATTAATCTTAAGCGTGGCCGGCTGGTTTTTGATTCATGATTATCTTTTTTCTTTTTAGGTTTTACATAATGCGATTGCTTTATAGTACAATATATTTTCTCTGTGCACTTTGTTGACTTCTGGGGTTGAAATGAAGTTCTAGTGTGGGACAGTACACATCCAGATCATCATGTTGGGATACATGTCCGGTCCAATTGAACAACGTTTTTATTTGTGGTTTGATCATTAAACACTAATTCCACATCTGATGATAAAATGAAGAGAGAGGGGAAAAGGATAATGGTGGAATTTGTTGGATTTATTAATTAAAAAGTGTTCATGACATTGATAAACTTGCAGAAATAATGCTAAAACAAGCTGATCGTTGGAAATTGATAGCTTGTTTATTATTATCGCTTCGTGAGTTATATATATAAACATTATCATTGTGAATATATAATTTGGTCTTTTAGACATTCTTTAGCTTGAAGAATAATACTACTGAGTATTGACGGCATTATTAACTGGCCTTTTTTTCTTTCAGGGATTGAAATGAATGGATCAATCAGAGACATTATTTAAACTTAAATTGGAGGCAAAGATAGATTTTTATGATCCTATTTATATGTCAGATCGAAAGAGAAAATTTTTTTTTCTATTTAAAAATCATGTTGAATTTTTACATGAATGCGCTATTACCCTTCATTTGTTATTATGTAT